GAAGATCCGCGATGGGCTTTCTCCTGGGGCCCCTCTGATTGTGTGCCGTTAAAAAGTGGGAAGTGGGGTCCCAAGCAGACTTGCCTGGAAGGAGCCTATAGAGGGTTAGTTATGTTGGGAGATCTGGCCTGAGAACCTCCTCAGAGAGAAGTTGCCTTCCTCGTCTTGGCCCTTTCCCGAGCACTGTAAGCAAGGGGTCAGGCGAGCCCCCGGTGTGGGGCTGGCGGATACTGACGGTTTGCCAGCGGGCCCAGCCTGGAGCCATGCGTTGAACGAACAGAGACGATCTAGTGGCTTTCCCTGCTATCCTCCCACTTGAGAGTTCCCTTCTGGCTGGGAGACAGGATTCTTAGCACCTTTGGTGTCAAAGGCTGTCTTGGGGTTGTGCCAATTAATAACCAAACATTGAGCCCGTGGGCCGTAAGTGGGAGCGTTATCCCCATGAGCCTTATCTCGTCGGTTACTCCCTAGACGTAGAAGCGGCTTCCCTCATTCCTTCACTCCACGTTCTCGTTTCCCCATTCTTCACCCCGCTGCTATCCCGTTCTCTCTGGGTGGTAGGGGAGAGTGACTCCCTGCTCGAGGACACTCCCTGTCGGGCATGGGATGTGCCCACAAAACGTTCCCTGAGCCCGTAAGCACTCCCAGTGGGGAAGTGGACAGGAGCCATTGGCCATAACCAGACAGAATTTGGAGTTGTTTTCATGAAGCTCCACTGAGAGTTTTAAAGAAATAATATGTAGCATGATTTTTTTAGAAGAGGAAGATTATTTAAATAGGATTTGAATCATGCAACAACCAGAGTATCACAACCAGGATGACCCCTGGGCCCCATTCCTAGGACGTGGTAACTTTATTTTCCCCTTGTTGAGACATAGGAAGACTTAATTTTTAAATGGTCGGTGTCCAGTTGAAGGCAGAACACTAATCAGATTTCAAGGCCCAAAACTTGGGGACTGGACCACCTTGTATTGCGGGAACTCTGCCACCTGTGCAAAATCTCTGGATAAAGCAAATTAAATGACACTACTGCCCTGATTACTCCTTAGGATGTGGTCAAAACAGCATCAAATGTTTCTTCTCTTCCTTTCCCCAAGACAGTGTCCTGAACCTGTTAAATTAAGTCATTGGATTTTACTCTGTTCTGTTTACAGTTTACTATTTAAGGTTTTATAAATGTAAATATATTTTGTATATTTTTCTATGAGAAGCACTTCATAGGGAGAAGCACTTATGACAAGGCTATTTTTTAAACCGCGGTATTATCCTAATTTAAAAGAAGATCGGTTTTTAATAATTTTTTATTTTCATAGGATGAAGTTAGAGAAAATATTCAGCTGTACACACAAAGTCTGGTTTTTCCTGCCCAACTTCCCCCTGGAGGGTGTACTTTCTGTTGTTTAATGTGTAGCTTGTTTGTGCCCTGTTGACATTAATGTTTCCTGGGTTTGCTCTTTGACAATAAATGGAAAAGGAAGGTCCCCGCTCCATCGGGCCACTCCCCTCCTTCCCACGTTGAAGCTCCTCGGAAGGCTGCGGTAGGATCTCCAGCAGTTTCTCCTCTCCTTCCCACACTGTCTGTCTCCTTTCTGGCAGGAGCGCAGTGCTGAGAGGGGGAACCCACACTTCCCTCGTCTCTCCTCCTTCAGAGTTAGCAACCAAGCTGAATGGCACCCTGACATTTTCCATCACCATCTGCCTCCTAGGTCATCTCATTCCCTCTCCCTCTGCCCACCAGGTCCTCATACCTGCCAAGACCCCTGGACCCACCCCTGGGCCCTTTCTAGGGGCAGCCCGTTGAAACTGAAGCACAGTCTGACCACTCACGATAAAGCAGATTCTCCTCCGCCTCTGTCAGCCACAAGGTTTCAGAGCCGCATAGTCCAGTGGAGGGCTGGGCGCCTTTTCTCGCCAGGGGAAGCCTGTTCCTACGAAGGAAATCTAGCGAAGCAATACGACTCCGCCCAGCGCTCGGCCCCAGGACTCACGGCTCTGCTGTGCCTTCCACCCTGGGCTCCCTGTTCTTCCGTGGCTCTGCTGGAACACTGTCACTGTTTTCACTGTCACGCAGGGAGCCCAGCACTGTGGCCAGGGTGGCAGAGACTCCCTGTCATCACGGAGAAGTGCCAGCAGGGGACTGGGGAAAAGCACTCTACCCAGACCTCACCTCCCTTCCTCCTTTTGCCCGTGAACAAGATGCAGTGGCCCCAGGGGTTCCACTAGTGTCTGATTTCCTTTATTATTGCACTGTGTGAGGTTTTTTTGTAAATCCTTCTACTCCTATTTTTTTTAAAGAAAAAAACCTTAAGCTGCATTTGTTACTGAAATGATTAATGCACTGATGGGTCATGACTTCACCTTGAGAAAGACCCAAAGGCCAGTCCATGGTGGGGGAAACTCAGCTAAATAGACCTAGTTACTGCCCTGCTAGGCCATGCTGTACTGTGAGCCCCCTCCTCATCTTCTCTACCAGTCCCAGACCCCGAGGCCGGGGAGGAAGCCACACCTTTCCTTCTCCCGCCCCTGCAGGTGGTTTGCCCTGCCTTTCCACTCCCTGTCAACCACAGAAATGAGTAACTCCTCTTAGAGCTCAGCCTTGAGTCCATTGCCAAAATTCAGCGTACCTGCCAGCAACTTGGGGAATAAGCTAAGGTTTCCCTACAAGAGGGGAAGAAGGCAAAAAACGGCATAGCTATCTCCAAAACACCTCTGAGTTTGTTTTGAAAGTGACCAAGGGAATCTCCGCACAAAAGTGCAGACTGAGGAACTGTGGTGGGTCATTCCCAAGAATCCCCCAAGGGGCATCCCAAATCCCTAAGGAGTAACAGCTGCACACCTGGTCAGTTCTCAGTGAGAGAGCCAGCTCACTTACAGCTTTGCTGCTAGCACCTGTTGTGGCTGCATTTCCTGGTGGCCAGTGACAACTGCATAACCAGAAAGCTGCATGGCGCTGACCCTTTGGCCGGAACTTGGTCCCTCAGCTCCCTCGGTTACCGTCACCTCCAGCCTAGCCCCTCCTGTTTTTAGACCAATAACAAGAATCAAGGGGGAAGCCCTGGCAGCTATAGGTAAGTTTCCAACCAGACTCCTTTGCCGGGATCCAATCCATCACCCCGCTTGTCTCTGTCGAACCCCCGGCCAATGCGGTGAGCACCATGCAGCTCCCTTGATTTAAAAAAAAAAAAGAAAGAAAAAGAAAAAAAAAAGAAAAATACAACAACAACAAAAAACACAAAAAAACAAAAAAACTTAATGAATGTATCTTTCTAAAGGACTGACGTTCAATCAAATATCTGAAAATACTAAAGGTCAAAACCTTGTCAGATGTTTAAGTTTGATTTGGGATTTTTTAAAACTAGAAATCAAGTTGTGGGGTATTTTTTGTTTTGTTTCGTTTTTTTTTTTAAAGGAAAAGCGGGTCATTGCAAAGGGCTGGGTGTAATTTTATGTTTCATTTCCTTCATTTTAAAGCAATACAAGGTTATTGAGCAGATGGTTTTGTGCCGAATCATGAATACCAGTCAAGTCTCACACTCTGAAAACTTGCAACTTTTTTTGTTTTGGTTTTCAAATAAATATAAATATGATATATATAGGAACTAATATAGTAATGCACCATGTAACAAAGCCTAGTTCAGTCCATGGCTTTTAATTCTCTTAACACTATAGATAAGGATTGTGTTACAGTTGCTAGTAGTGGCAGAAAAAAGTCTGGCGCTCCTCTGACCCCCTGGAATGGGGGGAGACCCAAACCCTTAAGGGATGGCAGAACAGTCCATTCCTAGGATCAGAGAGAAATGCAGAAATGGTGTCACCTGGATTTTCTCTGCCCGTGAATGTTGCCAGTCAGTACCTGTACTCCTTGTTTCTCTACTTTTGGTTATGAATGTTGGGGTTACCACCTGCATTTAGGGGAAAATTGTGTTCTGTGCTTTCCTGGTATCTTGTTCCGAGGTACTCTAGTTCTGTCTTTCAACCAAGAAAATAGACTTGTGGTGTTTCTTTTATTGAACTTTTAACAGTCTCTTTAGTAAATACAGGTAGTTGAATAATTGTTTCAAAAGCTCAACAGATGACAAGCTTCTTTTCTAGAAATAAGACATTTCTTGACAACTTTATCATGTATAACAAATCTTTGGTTTTTTTTTTTTTTTTTCTTGTGTTCTTCCAAGCTTCTGGTTAGAGAAAAAAGAAGAAAAAAAAAAAAAAGGAAAAAAATGTGTCTAAAGTCCATCAGTGTTAACTCCCTGTGACAGGGATGAAGGAAAATACTTTAATAGTTCAAAAATAATAATGCTGAAAGCTCTCTACGAAAGACTGAATGTAAAAGTAAAAAGTGTACATAGTTGTAAAAAAAAAGGAGTTTTTAAACATGTTTATTTTCTATGCACTTTTTTTTATTTAAGTGATAGTTTAATTAATAAACATGTCAAGTTTATTGCTGCACATGGTTGAACTTTCTTTTTGGCTTTGGCTGGGGTGGAGGAATGGGAGGGGCATGGCCTGTGACCTGATTACAAAGTCCCTTCCCCAGTCCTTTCTTTTAAGGTGGAATCATGAAATCATCCCTCACCGCCTTCAGGCCCCCCTCTACACTGTCTCTCTCAACTGTTTTTTCTTCCCTTACTCATCAGTGATGTATGTTCAGGGCCTAATTAACTCTGGATATGAGGAAGGGGTCAAGAGGACAAAGGAGTAGTTCCTTTGCTTCCCACTCATTCCCCCTCCTTCATCCCTGGCGGTCAAGCACTGGCTTCTAAAAGTTTACTACCAGTCTAGGAATATAATAGAACAAAAGCATTGTGGGGGAACCTGGGCAGCACCCTCTCTTTGCTCCACTCCACCTTAAGGCTGAAATTGGGCTTATTTACTGTTTCTCTGTAGCACAGGGGTCAGGGTGGGGAGGCAGTTGAGAAATATTTGTAAATATTCTCCCAAGCCAGGGTCACTATCCCCAGGCTAAAGGGGTTGAGTTTATACTCCAGCCAAGAAATGGAAGACACTCCGCCTCTTGGGGGATGGTCCTCAAACAGACCTCCTCCCTCTGGGTCAGCTGGCTGGAAGCTCAGCCCTCACCTCTTCTTCCTTTCATCCTCCGGATTTTGGAGTTGAGCACCATGGGGACTCCAAATGACCAGGCAGTGTTGCAGGCCATCTTCAACCCTGACACCCCATTTGGAGACATTGTTGGGTTGGACCTGGGAGAGGAAGAGGAGAAGGAAGAAATAGATGAAGGTGAGTATTTTGAACTTGGAGGAGAGCTCTCCACACTGGCTGGTCTGCTGCCTCGTCGAGATGGCAGAGGAAGGTAATTTTACCAGGCAGGACCCTTGTGCCAGGACCCTAGGATGATGATGGAGATTGGAATCAGAGAGGTTGGCTGATCTTCAGTGCACTGACAGGGGCTTGGAAAGAGTCACTGTGCCAAGAGGAGAAAACCGGGTTTGCCCTTCACCCCCACACCTTGAACTTACCTTACCGCTTAGTTCACCCCATGATCCAAGCTTAACTGTATTTGCAGGGATAGGGGGGATGTGAAACTTTCACATCTTTGTTATAACAGAGTATATTACCCTACACAGCGTGGAATACAGAAACAGGGCTGGAGGTGGCTCAGTTAAATGGTTCCAACCTAAGCAAGCATTCAGTGTTACACACCCTTTTGAGCCAAGCACTGAGCTCATTCTTCCAGAGTGAGTCTGCTCACTGGCTTCTCCACCGGTCCCTAAGGGGGCTGCTCTCCCCATCAGTTATTGATGCCCTTTGTTTCTAAAGGAGTGAAGCTAAGCCTGACTGAAACTTTAGCCTGAAAAGCTGAGGGAACATTGGAGATTCACTGCACCTGACTCTCACTGTGACCTGCACCCCAGCCCAGTCAGCCCTGGCTTCGCTCTGTCCCAGATTTCCAAAGCCTGAGGTGGCTTTTGCTTCCTGCTCCCAACTGCACACCTGTCCTCTCACAGCTCCTTCCCTGACACAGATGGAGTTTTCCCTGGAGCACAGCTGGCGCAGTCCAAGGCCCTGGAGCTGCAGGGCGTGATGGCAGCAGAGGCTGGCAACCTCAGCACAGCCCTGGAGAGGTTTGGCCAAGCCATCAACCTGCTGCCTGAGAGGGCGTCAGCCTACAACAACCGAGCCCAGGCCCGGCGACTCCAGGGAGATGTGGCAGGTGAGAGGAGGGAGAGTTCCTGAGCTTCTGCAGAAGGGGCCCTGGAGGGCACAGACCAGAGACCACATGGTGTGGGGCTTGGGCACAGGGCATGGGAAGTCACTCAACCCCTCTGGACCCTATGTTCCTACCTATAAGAGATATATGATGGCCCTGCTAATCTCTTGGGGCTGTTGGGAAAGTCAAAGAAACTGCATTCCGTTCATTTATTTAACAAACATTTTACTAGTGCTGACTTACTACTGCAGCAGTAGGCTGGGTGCCGAGGACGATGCTATTTATAGCAACGACTATGTGCCAGGCACTAAGCACTTCACATGTGAGTTGTAGTCACCCATTTAATCACTCACAACAGCCCTAAAAGGTATGTGCAGTTGTTAGTACATCCATAGTACAGATGAAGAAACCTATGCATGGAGGTTAAGAAGCTCGCTACTCATGCAGCTGAGTGGCAGAGCTAGGATGTGGACCAGGTGGCAGGGCTTCAGAGTGTGTGCTCTTAATTCCCACGTGACACTACTTCTCAGAAAGCTCAGAGCCTAGAGGGTAGGACAGATACAAAAATATAATGGCAGCGTAACCAGCTGAGAGGGTTCAGTATGGAATTCGTTCCTGAGGGGTGAGTTTTGAAGGATAAGTAGGCATGAGCTGGGTGGAGGGCAGGGAGTGGGAGAAGGCACAGCCTGTGGAGGTCCCAAAGGCATGGACAGAGACAGAAAAGTTCAGATCTCCAGTCTGGCTAGAAAAGGGAGTTGTGCAGGATGGAGCCTCTCTGGAGTCTGGAGAAGTAAACAGGGGCCAGACAGCAAAGAACTGGAAACATCAGGCCAATGTTGAATTTTGTCCTGAAAACAGAGGGAATCACTAAAGGGTTTCAATTGTGCAGTGACTGGATGAAACCTGCTGTACTCAGGTTACTGTAGCTGGAAGGGGGACAATGGGACAAAGAGCGCCATGCTGGGGACCAGAGAGCAGGCTGATGCGAAGATGTAAACCACAGAAGCCTAGTAGGGAACTCCTAGACAATCAGGAGTCATGGCGGAGGTGCTCCTGGGGCCAAGACTGCCAGACAGGGGAATTTGGACTTCATTCTGGGAACAGCAGGGAACTCTGAGGGCCCCCTTGCCAGGCTTGTCTGCCACCTGGCTCTGGCAGAGCAGGGCCATAAAGGCCACTGGGGACAACCAGCAGATCAAAACCCCAGAGAGGATCAGAGGGGATTCTGCCTGAGGGAGGCCTTCAATTCCCCCTACCAACTCCTTTGAGGGAAACCAAGGAATGCTGTGATTAGAGAGCTTCTCAACTTTCCAGGTGGTATGAGGAGCACAGGCGCTGCTGGGTTCTGGGGACCCAAACAGACAGGACAGGGCAGATGAGCCTGGCTGTAGGATACTGCTGGTACTGCTAACCAGAGAACATGAGTGAACTAAAGTAGAGGCCAGAAGAAAGGCAGTTCGGTGGACCCTACAGCAGATACCCCCTGGCTGCCTGAGGTTGAATATAGAGCTCTGATGCCTAAGCCAAGTATCTCTGAGGACGATAAAAATAAAAATGTTGCAGGCCAGCTCTGGCTCCAAGACCTCCTTCAAAGACAATTAGATACAAAATGATGAAGACCATGGAAATAAAGAATGAGGAAGGGAAGTAGTGGAGAACACAGGTGAGAGAAGCAGTTTTAGGGCATAGAATGAAAAAGAGGAGAGAAAAGCCTTCAAGAAGGGGAGAAATGGACTTTATTGGGTATGTAAGAAATAGTTGTCAGTTAATTCTAACGTTTTTGGACTCTGGGATTCAGAGTCAGTCATCTGGCACATGGTAGATGGTATGTGTGGAACAAATCGCCTGCTACGTGCCCGGCAACAGGCCTGATTCATAACATAGTGACCATTCAAAATCCTCTCAGCAACCTTCATGTTTAGCGGGGGCGGGTACTAGATGGTGGAAAATGACAAGGACAGGAGAGACCTGGACTTTAGTCCCAGCTCGGCCACTAACTGGCTGTGCAGCCCAGGCCCAGTCTGGCCGACTCTTCAGTCCTCATCTGTGTAACGTGAGTATCAATACCGACCTCCAGGGTCAAGGGCAGGCGGGATGTAAGGGGCCGAGCCCCAGACCCTGGGTTCTGGGCCGGGTCACGTGCTGGCCGCGCCCCTGACCCCGCCCGCCCGTCCGTCCCGCAGGCGCCCTGGAGGACCTGGAGCCCCTGAAACTGCCAAGGCACACG